AGGAGCTGGAATGCTGGGCAGGATACAAAAATTAATACTGAAGAAGAGGGAATTAATGCTCCTGGAAAGGGAATGTGATGCTCCTGCTGGATGAGGAACAGGAATTCCAGAACCTTCTGCCTTTGATTCCTGGGGGTCAGGGATAAACCCACATGGACAGAGCCTGACCTGCCAGGAGCATTTGCCCTGCCCCAGGGGCAAAGGCAGGATCCCAAAGCAGAGCCCTGGATCGTTCCTGGATGCAGCTGGGATGCCCTGGGATCCCTGGAATAACGGGATCCAAGGTGCCCTGGCCTGGCCCTGGGGAGGATGGAGATCCCAGCAGGAGCAGGAGAAAGGGCTGGGAATGCACCCCTGAGGTTCTTTCCCAGCCTGCAGCCACTCCATTTCCTCCTGGACACACCAGGAGAGTTCTCCAGCTGCTCCTCCCAGGGAATTCAGCAGCACAAGCCAGGCTGAGACAGCCAGGATGGAGCAGGGAGCTGCTGCAGGGCTGGGGCCAGGCTGGGACACCTGGGGGGGCTCACCTGGAGAGGAGAAGGATCCAGGGAGAGCTCAGAGCCCTGGCAGGGCCTGCAGGGGCTCCAGGAGAGCTGGAGAGGGACTGGGGACAGGGATGGAGGGACAGCACACAGGGAATGGCTCCCATTGGGATGGGTGGGACATTGGGAATTGGGAATTCCTGGCTGGGATGGGATTCCCAGAGCAGCTGGGGCTGCCCCTGCACCCCTGGCAGTGCCCAAGGATGAGCTTGGAACACCCTGGGAGAGAGGGACATGTCCCTGCCATGGCAGAAGAAAGGAAGAGCTATTTTACCTCCTGGGGTTCCCCTGGGTTAAAGCAGAATTTCCCTCTAGACCTGCACATTCCCTGCCCTATTCCCCTGGGGAGAAGGAGGTGTGGGTATTTCTGGTCATGGCGGTGGGTCTGGGGTATTATTTTGACAAACAGAAAACAGTTTCCCATCCCTTAAGGTTCAGAACAATCTGTGCCATAAAATCCCAACCCGTGGGATCCAATCCCTTCCAGCTTCCTCCTGTAACACGAGTTTCTAAAATCTCCTACAAATGCACCTTTTCTCATAGGAGTGGGACCAGGACGGGAGATCCCGGGAGCGCGACCTGGACCTGGATTTGCGGCCCGACTTTTTGCGGCTGTAGGCGCGGCTGTCCGAGGAGCTGCTGGAGGAGGAGCGCCGCCGGTGCTTCTTCTTCCTGCGGCTCCTGCCCTCCTCCTCCGTGTCCGAGGAGCGCCGGCCCATCCCCACCTGCACGGAATGCACACGTGGGACAGGGCCGCTGCCTGCCCTGGCCTGGTTTGTATTTATAATGTTAAAAAAATCAAAACACGCGGTTCCCTCTCCTCTTGTCCTTGTTCTTGGAGCACAGCCTGACCCCCCGGCTGTGCCCTCCTGTCAGGAGCTGTGCAGAGCCACAAGGGCCCCCTGATCCCCCTTTTCTCCAGGCTGAGCCCCTTCCCAGCCCTGATCTGATCCCCTGATCCCCCTTTTCTCCAGGCTGAGCCCCTTCCCAGCCCTGATCTGATCCCCCGATCCCCCTTTGGTCCAGGCTGAGCCCCTTCCCAGCCCTGATCTGATCCCCTGATCCCCCTCTGCTCCAGGCTCAGACCCTTCCCAGCCCTGATCTGATCCCCTGATCCCCCTTTTCTCCAGGCTGATTCCCTTCCCAGCTCCCTCAGCCCCTCCAGGGGCTCCATTCCCTTCCCAGCTCCGCTCCCTTCTCTGTTCCTCCTCTTCCCAGCACAGACGGCTCCAACCCGCTCAATTCCTCCATCCCAACCCTGGCCCATCCTCGCACCTCCGGTCACCGGGGCAGCGCCTCCTGATCCACCGGGGAGCGAGCGCCTGCAGCGGAGAAAGGCAAATTCACCGTAAGGANCTGCTAAAATACCCAAAAACAGCAAAACAACCCCAAGCAGTCCTCAGGAAACAGAGCTGGGGTGAGCCTGGTGCTGGCAAAATACCCAAAACAGCAAAACAACCCCAAGGAGTCCTGAGGAAACAGAGCAGGGGGAGCATGGCGCTGCCAAAATACCCAAAAACAGCAAAAAACCCCAAGGAATCGTGAGAAAACACAGCCAGGAGTGAGCCTGGCGCTGCCAAAACACCCAAAACAGCAAAAAACCCCAAGGAGTCCTCAGGAAACAGAGCAGGGAGAGCATGGCACTGCTAAAAACCCCAAAACAGCAAAAAAACCCCAAGGAGTCCTCAGGAAACGGAGCAGGGAGAGCATGGCACTACCAAACACCCCAAACAGCAAAACAACCCCAAGGAGTCCTGAGAAAACACAGCCAGGAGTGAGCCTGGCCCTTCCAAAACACCCAAAAACAGCAAAACAACCCCAAGGAGTCCTGAGGAAACAGAGCAGGGGGAGCATGGTGCTGCCAAAATACCCAAAAACAGTAAAAACCCCCAAGGAGTCCTGAGGAAACAGAGCTGGGGGAACTTGGCCCTGCCAGAATATCCAAAAACAGCAAAACAACCTCAAGGAATCCTGAGAAAACAGAGCAGGGTGAGCATGGCGCTGCCAGAATATCCAAAACAGCAAAACAACCCCAAGGAGTCCTCAGGAAACAGAGCAGGGAGAGCCTGGCCCTGCCAAAATACCCAAAACAGCAAAAAACCCCAAGGAATCCTCAGGAAACAGAGCTGGGGTGAGCCTGGCACTGCTAAAAACCCCAAAACAACCCCAAGGATTCCTCAGAAAACACAACACTGCTCCCCAAGCAATTCCTGAAAAACACAGCCAGGGGTGAGGCTGGCACTGCTCCCAAAACTCCCAAAAAACGGGGAAAAACCCCCAAGGAGTCCTCAGAAAACACAGCCAGGGCTAAGCAAAGCACTGCCTCAAAAAACCCCAAAACCAGGGACAAATCCCCAAACAATTCCTGAG